GGGGGGGGGGGGGGGAGGGAGAGAGAGAGAGAACGGGGCTTTCGCCCAGTGCTATTTAACATTTTCATAACTCAATATGGCGCAAGGGGGGTCACGTATCAGAATCGCCTTTGGCACCATTGACCACCACCAGACGATGCACCACCGCTGGTCATCGGGCACCTGGAGCAGTGTTTTGGTTCATTAAGTCGTATACATTCCTGTTCAGTGCCACACAACTGCACCTAATTGGTAAGGTGACTACCGTTGGTGTAACTTAAACAAAAAAAATAAGAGAAAAAAAAAGATAGAAAAAAGTGAAAGAAAAAGAGGGCGAAAGAGAAATTAGGTCATAAAGAAAAAGAAGAGATAGAAATTATGTAAACGATGTAAAATGGCACTTACTAATATTTTTAGGTTAAATTTAAGCGTTTTTTGGAAATAATTCACGTGTTTTTCCTTAGGATTTTTTTACAATTCTCCTGGCTACTCCAGGTTTCCTTGGTTTAAGGTCCTCCTGGTACTTTTTGGCTAATGGGCCTTTACAGAGCCCTCTGGCTAATTCCTGCATCTCACCAGCGTGGTACCCAAGTACGGCCCGTGAAAGATTCCTCCGGGTAAAATGATAACTCGGGGACCTGAGAAGCTAGAAGACTGGAATTTTAAGGGGATGTCCCCCGTCCACGTTGGTATTAATGAGTTCAAACCCAGCCTTCTCGACCTCAGTTACCCCGCTGGATTTGGCTGAGCCGCACAAAATGCACTCGCTTTTGGGTTCGTGTTCGGATTGCGAAAATCGTTGTGCCACATGCCGTTTGATGTTTGTCGTAATTGAAAGATATGCAAATTTGGATTGGATAGGGACGGGTCGATTTTGGGCCCAAAAAATGTCGTTGTTTTTTATTCAAGGTGATACTTTTTCAGACGAAGATTGCTGGGAAGGAAGCATGTTCTTCTGCTGTGGTGCGCAGTCCTCTGCATGCAGCTCGATGTCCCGATGAATGGAAGAGAATGTACACACTTGGCACCGGGATCTGGCAACGTTTGACGCAAAAAAGCAATTACTACATTGTAATTGTGGGCCTGGATAACGCCGGCAAAACGGTAAGCATTTCTACACTATTTTTCCTTGCAGTAAAAATCATTTTTGTCCGACTGATTTTCTTTTCAGTTGCTGAGGTAGTGTAGGCAGCACTGAATAGTCTCTTCTATCAGTGCTGGCTTTTTCACCTCAGCAACCGTGGTATTTCATGTTTCACTTCCATACAACAGGACTCTGGCAGCGCAGCATCTGCCAGCATCTTCTTTATCAATGGTGAGAAGAAAAATAATCGCGAAACTACACGTGATCATAATATAAAAAGAGTTTCACATCTGTCGGCAGCATGCCATTTCATCATCAGTAAAATTATGGTATTCCAGTAGTGGTGCTGAATAGAAATGTATACAACTTAATGAACTAAAATATCCCTGTTCTTCTGATAATTTTGTATTTCTTAACATATTTTTATATTATGGTAGATTATTGGTTTAGTTTATGATAACTAGCCTAAATATGGCAACTGATCCAACAAGTTATAGTAACAAGTAGTAATAATAAATGCAGTAAGAAATAGAAAAGAAACTCTGAATTGAAATATTTCGGTCCATTAACTCGCATATATTCTAAATCAGTACACATGTATATATATATGTATATATATATATATATATATATATACAAACAAGTACATGTTACAGATGCATATATACACTTATATGACACATATATCGTCATCAACATATTTATCCCGTGTTTTATTTCCACATAACTGAACTGATGAATTTGCCGATTTCTGCATTTATGGCAATAGAAAGTAAAGTTCCAGAGCCGTTGCGTACAAGCCATCTTACTGAAATTGGCCATTTTTAAAAACATGAAAACTTTTTGGTCTGGGCATTCACGCCTTTATTTCACTTATCTTTCTCCGCTTGAAAATAATTCGCAGTTTAAACGGCTATTATTTATACTTCAGTTTTTCAACACATAATCTCCACCACCTATTTTCCTGGGATCCCATCGCCCTTCTTTTCCCCGACAAATGTTAGTTTTGTTCCTAAAATAAAATGGACGAATTGCAGACGTTTTTGGAGCAAATCAAGTCGCGTTTCATCTGTAATTATCAGATGCTGAATCCGCTGAACATCACGAGCACCGTTGGATTAAATGGTGAGTCTCTCTACTTCGTTAATGTCTTTCCACCACTCATTTTCTCGAAATTACTTTTGAGACTTTATAAGAATTAAACTCAGAAAACCCTAACCGTCCTTTGTTCCTGGGATACAATATATAAAAGGGTGTAGAGGGCCTGTCCTAGCTGCGCCTGATGTATAAAAGCATTCCAGTAACATCTCACTAACAGGGGATACTCACATTGTTTGCCCTGGTGCTCTCGATACTCTTGGTATTTAGATTCACTTGGTCCAGTTTGTAGTTTTGCGCAGGTGTGGAGCCGGTTTTTCATGCTTAATTTTCATTCAGCTCGAGGGTTTTAGGCTTCCGCCTTGAAAGAAACTGTGGCTAAGAAAATGTCATGCTAATAAATTGCAGTATCATACTTTTTCTGAAATTTAGTACTTTCTAAATTAGTTTGAGGGATGCCGCCGTTCGTTCACGCCAATTTCAAAGCCAATTTTCAGTGGGATCGATTGATCTGGGCTCGATACGTCTCAATTTTTGGGACCTGGGAGGACAGGATGAATTGCAGTCGCTCTGGCACAAATACTTTGATGATTGTCAGGCTCTCATATTTGTTGTCGATTCCTGTGATCCTCAGCGATTCCCCGAAGTTGGTGCAGCTTTCAGTAAGTCCCCGTGTTATCAGCCATTGGAAACATATATTTACACCCATTTCCTGG